CAAGAATACTGAACTGAATTTATCTGAGAAATAAAATCAGTATTTTTCTGATACAATCTATTGCCAAGATACTGATTATCAACAGCTATTGGTACGATATTTAGCGAAGGTGTGTATCTACAAATATTATTTACTGGGGCAAAAATTAGTTACCCTACTTTCTGAGCAGAGAAGCAGAACCACTGACGAATCAGAGTGTCATGCGTCCAACCCGGTATTCCTCTGCCACAATCTGATTTCAGCGTAACGCTATCATAATCAAACATTACCAACCACTTTCTATGAGAGAGAGTTATTTCAAACCCCTGAAAAATTAAAGTAAAAATCCAAACCTGATTATATATCAAGGTCCATGTTCCAGTGTTTCCAAAGTGGTCTTTAGCAATGTTTGGGTACAGAAGAGTCACAAAGACAGTCGAGGTTTCTTGAACTAAATTTTAATCAAATAAAATAGCTTTACAGGAAGATCTGCAATCATTCTTGAACACACTCAGACCAAACCGCCATTCCCCTCTGGCATCTTCATAAGTGCAGTTTGCAGGTGTGTCCGCGAAAACATATGAGAAACTGAGGACGAAAGAGAGAATAAGAGCGCAGCAATGCATGGCCATAGGTCAACTCGGCATATGTGCAGCAGCTTATATATGCGAACCTGTTAAAACACATTAACATTAGTTTTATTAAAAAAATATTTCTAGGATATTGTTTTATATAATGGTAAAATAGTTTATGTTAAATATCCAAAAAATTTGAAATAAACTAATGTAGTATGTCTAACTAAAATCTTCACATATTTCCGAGATCAATACCTGCACTAATAGATGTACAGGGAAGATTACATATTTTATTTATTATTAAAAATGGTGTCTTGCTATAGCTCGTAAATATGTTAAGATTCGGTGTGTGATCAACGCGGATGAAAGCTGGATATCATATTTGCAAATGCTATATAATAAAAAACGCAAGCGCAAATAAATCAAGCCCAACATTGAATCAATTCCCCGTATCTAGAAACCACGACCAGCATCTTTGCAAATCCAGCTAAAGGCTCTTCATATCATCAAAATTCTTGAGATAATCTATACAACTCACCATAAAT